CTTAATATAGGACCCAATTCTTGAGTTGGTTTTGGTCCTAAATATAAGACCCATTTCTCATGTTTATTATTTTTTTTCTAAATTACCCCTATGGATACTCCCTCAACTATAATCAAGTAGAAGAGGGAAAGAAGGTATTAAAAAAGATGATTATAGTATTTTAGGAAAACTGTGTCACTTTTCTTATAATTAACTAACGTACCTAACTTTCTTAATCTAATCAAATTAGTTAAATGAGTCTTATATTAAGGATAGGAGGAGTAGTATATACATGTGTAGTTGTGTGGTTGGACAAATCTGTCTTACTGATAATCGTGATAAGCTTTTTGGTTGTTTTTTTTTTTTTGAACGTGGCATGCACGACGCGTGTAACCGGCAATAATTCTATAGGATGGTCCATCGCTTGGGTGCGGAGGGTCGTGTCTCATCGCTAATCTTGAGTGGACCTACGTCCAAGAGTGCCACCAGATTTTGGGGCTCGCGTTGGAGGTTGCACGGCAGATCTCTTCCCCTACGTGGCTTTCTGAGCCCAATAGGACGAATGGGTGAGCTTTGCCCCACCCCACCTGACTCCCAACAATTTGTTGTTTCTACACTACTGTTATCCATGTGATCCACTCTACTTTTCTCCTTATTCTTTTTTCTTTGTTTTTATTATAAGTTTTAAATGAGTAATACACATATAATAAAAAAATTAGTTAAAATCAATAAAGATGTAATACACATTTAAATATATGTCTTTATAATAAATAAAAAGGGGGAAGAAAAATGTAATAAGAGAGTGTGTGACAAAAATTAATAAATAATTTAGGAATAAAATTGAAAAAAGGATACAAACTCTAATTTAAACTTAAAAAATAGATCATATTCCTCTCTTAATTTAAATCTTATAAATAGAATCGGACAAAATTTTTTTCCTAATTAATTCCCACCTCTTTTTAATTTAATCATGTATCATATTTAATTAACTAAAAAAAAAAAACTTTAGGACGGGAGAATTGGCCATCAGATTCCCACATGCGTCCAGCTCCTCTAACCTTCTCCTCCTCTACCTTTCTTTCTTCTGCTCTTTTATCTTTCTTCCAATCCTTCACGGACATGTGATCAAATCTGAATTGTCTATATTTAATATTTTAAAATAATATTATTATTTTTGGATAAAAATATTATAACTTTACAAAAAACAATATATAAATAAATATGACCAGCTAAAATCTGATTTGAATAATTTACAACTTGTAAATTATTATCATAAAGTAGATTTTTGCCAGTTATAAACTGTTCAGACCATATTTTAGCATTTCAAATTTATTTATGTATTTTTTAAAATAAAATTATAATATTTTTTGGTAAAAAGTAATAATATTATTTAAAATATTAAATCTATTGCGTTTGATTTAATGTAAAGTAGATTTTTTCCATCCCTAAAATGAAAAAGGGATATAATTTAATTTATATATACTCCATTTAATCGCTATTACTCCTTTGGTCTTAAATATAGGATCCCTCTTGTAGTGTAAATTACACTATAAAAAAGATTTTATATTTAGAACCGGAAGAGTACATTATTTATTTATATCTTTTCTTCTTTTTTTTGGTGATAATCTTTCCATTTTTGCTTTGTGCAGGGAAAAAAAACTGTTCGGTCACTCCACTTATTAAGGGGTTAATACAAATTTTTGTCTCCAAAATTTGGGCTTAATTTGTTATTGCCCTTGAAATTTCAAACGTGTGTTATTGGCCCCTGAAATTATGTCTGTTTCACCGTTAGTTCTTGATACCTTGACACCGTTAAAATCTGATATGACATTAACACTGTTAACTGATGAGGTGGACACATAGGCTGGCTTATATGTGGCATATGAGCTGGACATGAAATTCTTGCACAAAGGTTCTTAATCAAAACTTCAAAACATCAGAGAAATCGACCGAGACGCACTCAACAAGCATCAGAGTATCAGCCTATTCTAGCAAATATGCTTCACAATGAACCGCCACCTGCTAAATCTTTCAATGAAAAACCCAGGCATCTTAGGTTGAGGTGACGAGGATTCACTACTCAGAATCATAACCGCGGACAACATGCCTGGCCTTCCATTCACTCGCCGATTCATGCAAGACTGGTTGAATATACTCTTATGTCAACAAAATTGAACATGAAGACACAGTAACCCATTAATGAATTGATAGTGCAAAGAACCTTAACTAATTATAATCTAACAATTAACAGAATTCAATATCTGATGTCTGGCATGAAGGGGAGGAGGATGGTGTAATTCAAGTTAGAAACACAATGAAATAAAATGGTTCAAGACTTGTTTGATCGAGGTTTTCCTCGTATTGTTGTAGATTTTTGCCTGATTATAGTTGTCCCTTAGCTTTTTAGTGACAAACCTTGGACTATCGATTGCCTTTAGCACTTCCAGGAATGAATGGTGTGCTACACAGTGGTCAGCTTTTCTGGTGGAATGTAACGCGTCTTTCTCTTTTGGATTGCGAGTATTAACCACTAAGATGAATATTATTTTTCATGTTTGTATTTTGGTCACGACAAAGGAGACTAGCGCAGAGACTTGTTGCAAGTGATAATGTCATTGTTCATGGAGGAAGCAGTCAAGGTCAATAGTGCAGGGGTAGGTTCCAAGCTCTTTTGTACTATAACAAGTTTTTATATACTAGCTCCGATCCTTAATATAAGGCCCTGTTTGATTTTTATTTTGGTTCTAAATATAAGACCTCAATCCACTTTGTCTCTCATATTTATACATTTTTTTTTCAAAGTAGTCCTTCTAACAATAATAGTTCTAGTCAATATATTTAATTAGTAAGGATATTTTAGGAAAAACAATATCACAATACCTATTTAGGACAAATAACTAACTCAACTTACTTCCTCAATCTCCTCAAATTAGTCAACTGGCTCTTATAATTAGGATCGGAGGTAGTATATAAAATAGGGTTATATAAATGTCTTTTGCTAACGGCAAGTAGTCACTTGTTTTTGGGAAGCAAGTTGGAGATCATATTCCAAGTTCATGTTGATTATTTGTATATTTGTAACATGATATTTAAATGCTCTGTTTTACTAATCCAAACCAAAGCAAACACTTTGGTTACGTTTGGTAGAAAGCATTGAAAATGAGGGATTGGGATTGGGATTACAATTGAAAAAATCTATTAAGAGAGTGTTTAGTATAAGAGATTGTTTGATATATGGGATTAGTCAAAGCCATGTATATGGGATTAAAGAATACCATGGGGGGAAGTGGTATTCCCCAATCCCACCTTTATGGGCATACCTAATCCCATATAACAAACAATTATTCATACTAAGTACTATTTTAATAATTTTTTCAATTGCAATCCCAATCCCAATCCCTCATTTTCAATACTTCGTACCAAACGGGACCTTTATTCCACAGGGGCGTGGTTTGCCTTCACCGAAAGCCTTCCCTTCTGTCCTAAATCTCTAACCTCTTTCTCGACAACTTGTGGAGATTTTTGTCTAAACCATTTCCCTTTGTTTCCCTTCTAGTGTTTGTCGTGCGCGCGCATTCTGCATATGATTGTCTTTTTCTTTTTCTTTTAATAATTTCATGTCTAGATCATATGCCACGTATAAGTCAGCCTATGTGTCCACCTCATTAGTTAACGATGTTGATGCCATGTTAGAAAATTTTAACAGTATCAAGATATTGGAGACCAACGCTCTGAAATGAATATAATTTCAAAACCCAATATCAAATTGAGTTCAAATTTAAGGGACTGGAATATTAGCCTCTTATTAGCCATTTCATGCACCTTCGTGGGGTTGCTCGGTCATAATTGCTGAGACGCAGGGACCAGAGAGCGTGCACGTGGTCGTACACTGTCCTCTTCAAAATAAATACTATTCTAGGCCCGCCTCAACTCCTCCGTTATTAATTCTTTTATTGTATTTATTTCATAATATTTAAAAGATTTTTTAATGTTCTTCAATTTTATTTTTTATACATTGTTTTTATCATTATTTGGGGTCTAAATTCTTAGGCTAAAAAATAAAAATATTTGGAGCCAATTTATAGGCATTTGAAATATTTCATGCGTATGAATTAAAACTAAAATTTAATTTATCGGACCAATCATTGAGATATTTTGTAAAATCATGTGGCAAATATTTTGTTTTGTTAACTTTTTTTTTTTTACTTTCTTTTTTATAAAGTCCGACCTAAAACTATGTAATGAGAATTTTCAATTTGTTGTGATAAGAATTATATTAAATTATCTATTTGTGCCAATCAAATACCGTAAATTAATAAAATGCATTAAGATCAGTAGATTACCTATAATTTTGATGTGCTATGAAATTGAACCAAGCATGCGCTGAAAACGCATGTGGTCGTACAATAATATAAAAAGGAAAATAATAAAGCCATCTCTTTGTCCAACAGCTTTTGAAAATGTAGGTCATATATGAGCATATCATGTGGTTTTATAATTCAAAATCTAAGAATGTGCATAGTTATAGACATACGAATGTAGACACACTATGCACACATATTTTTATATTCGAAGATTTATTTTTATAGTATTTAATAATATAACAATGATTTAATAAATATGTGAAATAAGACATAGGCGATAAAATAAAATTTTATTTGTTCGACAGGAAGGTGTCACTGTGGCCGTGCGTTTTGATGCCATGGTTACTTAATTAACGGTAGGAGATAATAAGCCCAAGGAAACAAAGAAAAGGGGTCATATAAGATAGGGAAAATTACTGTAGAGTCCCACAGAAGACAATTTACTACCAGAAGGTCCCATGAAATCTCCAAATTCCTAATAAGTCCCCAGGGACCTCTGGGTAAATAATTTGAGTTGTGATATTACGTACTTGCCCTCAGTCATTGATAAAGGAAAGAAAAGAGGGAGAGACGCTGATTGGCTTCATTTAGTGCGGTTGTTTGTTATGCATGCACAAGGAAGAGAAGCTTCTGAAAGAAAGAAGGGAGTTATGCGCTGGTACTCCATCGCAGGCAAGCGACATTATTTCTTCATCTTCTTGGTACGTCTCATCATTAACAACATTTCTCTTCTTCTGTACACAACCAGTGTCAAGTTTAATGTTGGTCTGAAAAGTTGATTGTGTGTTGATATGTGGGTATTAAAGATGTGATTCAACTCACTAGAAATATTAAGGGAGGCTCATTTTAGTCATATGTGGTTTTAATCATGTTAGGTGTGGTTTTACTATGTGTGGCTAGGGTTAGAAAGCAATGCTCTGTTTTTCGGTGAATGAGGCTCTGTTTTTCGGTCACTGATGCTGTGTTGCTGATGAAGATGAGTGGAAAATAACAGATATTTATTATTGTAACCCCTCAAATGCGATGGTTAAATGTGTTGTTAATGGGTACATCGAAGGTTGTTAACATAACTGTATGACTTGTTATTAACAACCAGTCGCAGCTTTAATGCTGGTCTGAAAAGTTGATTGGGTGTTTATACGTTGGTATTAAGCATGTGATTAAGCTCTCTAGAAATATCAAGGGAGGCTCATTTTAGTCATATGTGGTTTTAATCATGTTAGGTGTGGTTTTACTATGTGTGGCTATGGTTAGAAAGCAATGCTCTGTTTTTCGGTGAATGATGCTCTGTTTTTCGGGCAATGATGCTGTGTTGCTGATGGAAATGAGTGGAAAATGACAGATATTTATTATTGTAACCCCTCAAATGCGATGGTTAAATGTGTTGTTAATGGGTACATCGAAGGTTGTTAACATAACTGTATGACTTGTTATTAACAAGTGATTGTGGCAGGTTGATATCCAGGATGGCAACTTCCAGTGCAAAGCAATTGTTTTGCTACCTCCATATAGGAGGACAATTTATTAATGGTGTAGAAGGTGAAACGCAGTATGTTGGAGGTGGTGTGAGAACAAGAATGATAAAGGAAGGGACATCATATGGAGAATTTAGAACAATGGTGGCATCAATTGTGGGAAAAGAAAGTAATGGAATGGTTATGAAATTCACAGTAACCTTTGATGAGTGTACATTTGTGGACCTTGTAGATGATGAAGGAGTAGAACATTTGATTAACTTCAATGGCGACAGTGGTCATGTATATATAGGAGAAAATGGAGATCAAAATTCACAACTAACAAGGGATGTTGTAATAGAAGAGCAACATGTGTAAGTTGTGTTATTTAAATTTCGAAGTAATATTAGCTATTGTCAACTGTTGTGCATAAGTTGTTATTATAGTGATCGAAGGTTGTCATTAACGACCCCTTGACCTGTTCTGTTATGTAGGATGGAAGACTTGTTCGGAGGTTCAGATACATTGTCCATGTCTCCACCTAATGTGGTTAGTGAAGACCCACTATTGTTGCCATGTGGTTCAGAAATGATGCCAACCCCAATTCCGGAAATGAATTCAATAAAGTGGAAGGGTTTGGTTATCGGAGAAGGACAGATTTTTCCTAATGCAGTGGCTCTTAGGCAAGCACTGTATAGGTACAGTATTGCTGTGAAGTTTTCATACAAGTTTGTGAAGAACAATCAACAAAAGATCATTGTGAAGTGTATGGCGGAGGGATGCCCGTGGTATATGGGTGCATACTCAATGGGACAAAGACAAGATTCTGAGTTGTTAATAATTAGAACCTTAAGAAGTGAGCATGTGCATTATGCACAGGACAGCTTGGTTGTATCTCACTCTAGAGGGTCAAACTTAACATCATCAATCATGATAGATTCTTTGAGGTGTAATATAGACAAGAATGCTAATGAACTTAGAAGAGATCTGTATAGAGAATATGGGGTGCGACTGAATTATAGTCAAGCATACAGGGGTAGAGAAAGAGCATTGAGGGAAATACATGGTCGTGCACAGGATTCATACATGGCGATTCCCTGGATTTGTGAAAGGCTCATTGAAACTGATCCAAACACAAGTGCTCGATGGGAAGGGTTGGATAGTAACAGATTTCAGAGGGTGTTCATTGCTTATGGATGCTCAATTAATGGATTTTTAGAAGGGTGTCGACATATACTTTATATAGACGGCTGTCATCTAAGTGGTCCTTACAGGGGGACATTGATTTCAGCTAATGCATATGATGCAGACAATGAACTATTTCCATTAGCATATGCTATAGTTAGTGGGGAGACATATGATGATTGGGCTTGGTTTCTCCAGAACATCAAAGACATCACAAGATCAGTGGAGACAACGATAGTTTCAGATCGGAATAATGCCATTATAGGTGCTGTGCGAACAATATTTGGTGGCGAGAGACATGCTTTTTGTTATAGGCATGTGAAAGAAAATTTTAGTGCACATTATTTAAAAATTAACCGAGGCAGGGGACGAGTTTCAGGTACTTCAAAGGACGTTGCATTGAAAATGCTGGATGGAATCGCCTATGCAAGGATTGAGGATGAATATGTTGCTGCAATGGGGAAACTTAGATCATTCTGTCCACAATTGGCTGATTGGGTTGACACTCAAGGAGATGTAGATCGGTGGGCTTTAAGCAAATTCCCGTTTAAGCGATGGGATAACATCACTACTAATGTTGCGGAGTCGTTTAATGCCTGGATTTTGAAGGAGAGGAAGCACAATGTGTCAGTTCTCATACATGAGCATATGGAGAAATTAGCCAAGAAGATGGTTGCAAGCAAAATGGCAATGGAAAATTGGACAAATGGCGTTGGGCCAAATATTGAGTCCAAGTTGCAAGAAAAAGTAGCAAGAGCGGAGAATATGCATACTGTATATTATGGAGATAACCGAGTTCAAGTTGATACTACATCTCCTACTGGAATAATTTGTGTCACTGTTGATCTCACAGCTCAGAAATGCACTTGTTTAGCATGGCAAATGAGCGGAGTACCTTGTGCTCATGCCTGTGCAGCGATAAAGCTACTTCATGGTAGTGTTTATGAATTTGTAGATGATTGCTATAAGCTGTCAGCCCAAGAGAAGATATATGCAAGTAGTATGAGGCCAATTGCGACACATGATTGTCCTCGTCCCGAAGCTCTCACCGTTACGCAGATGATGACGGGAACATTTTTACAGCCACCAATCACTAAAAGACCCTCAGGGAGGCCAAAGAAAAGAAGGATTGAATCTCAATTTCAAAGTAAAAAACTTTACCACTGTGGAAGATGCCATGAGCCAGGCCACACTGTGAAGACTTGCCAGAACCCCAATCCAAGTTGAGCTTTGCTGGTGGCTTGTTGATATTTCGTTTTGTGAATGCTTGTGACAGCATTTTTTTTGTAAATGTCATAACCTACACCTCAAGTTGTCCGTCATTATCCACACATGCAACACGTATGCTTTTTTGAATAGGTTGTAAATTTGGTGTAGTTATGTTGTACATATATATATCAAGTGGTAAATGACACCTGGTTGTAATCTGATATAACATCATTTCTGTATTTTTGATGTACTGGTGAATAGGTTGTAATGGACTTGTTATCAGACGCCATGCAGGTTGTCATTAGCAGTCTCAATTATGTTACTGATATAAAGTGACAATTTCTCCTACTTCCAGTGTTCAGTGATTTCTTAAGACATTCGAGCTGTGTTAAAGTCATAATATGATATGATTTGGTTAGAATTAGATCTCATGTGGAGGTTGTGGTATCCCCAGCGTCAGTTGTCAGGGGCAATGCGAAGGTTGTTAACCAATTCTGTTCGGGTTGTCAACAATCCCTGTTGAGGTTGTAAATGAATTGCTGGAATAAAAATCTGCTGTAATATGATTTGGTTCTTTTAAAGCTGTTAATGACTTTAAAATGCTCCCAATTTTTGCTATTAAGGTCGTTATATGTGCTCATAATATAATTAAGTTAACAGCTGTGTTATACCCCGACTGAGTTGTTAACCAATTCTGTTCGGGTTGTCAACAATCCCTTTTGAGGTTGTGAACAACCCCTGTTGAGGTTGTAAACAGATGTGGCAGAGAGGACTCTGATATATGCCTATGATGTCACCGTGGGTACCATTTGTTTATCCAGTCTTATTCAGTCTGCATTTGTGGCCATGATGAAAACACATGAATGCCTTTACAAAAACTTGATAACCAGTAAAGGATATCAAAACACATTAACATATCTTAACATCCAGGATTCATACATGCTCAAAGAAAAGAATAAAATGTAAACTTGACGTTCAGATGTCACTATGCTGTCAAATAAATAAATGTAAATACAATATATGCTTGTCATTTATTTCTTCCTCTTGCTTTGGGGGTTTCCTCGCAGCAAAGATAGCACTTCATCGCCATGCAGGTTGTTCCGATGAGTCACGAGCCACCACAAGCATCCAACCTTCAAGTCATGGATTTCTTCAGGGGAGTACTTAGGCATTGTGTAGCCGTCATCACCATACTCAGTGCCGTCCCATGTTTGTAACCAGCTCAACACATGCACCCCACAAGAGTCCCTACAAAGGAAAAACAAGTACTTTAGTGAATGAACATTAGCTCCCAAAAGTTGAGACACAAGTACTTGTTGTGTTGAAAAATAACTCACGTGTCAGATTGCACATGAACTTTTGCCCATGTGACTTCCTCGTCAATCTTGTCCTCCTCCGCAAACAGTGATGGCTTCAGCACACGAAGCACTTGGCAGAAACAATCTCTCTGCAAAAAAGGGACAAACAGAAGAAACAAGTTTGACAGTTGTGAATGACAAGTTATCAGGAAGCATTAACAACCTTCGCTGTAGCGAATGACAAGTAATCAGCAGGCATTAACAACCAGGACAGTTAAGCAGACAAGCAACCATAACGCATTAACAAGTTATAGAATGAATGTAAAGTTGTGCATACAATCCCTCTCGCCATGAATTGCTTAGGATCTATCTGTCCTCTCTTCTTCCCTTGCTTCCTTTGTGGTTTCTTCCCTGTTTTCATTGCTTCTTCTTCCTCTCTTTGTAATCTCAACATCGTCAAATTGTCCACCAACGAGTCAAGGGCATAGAAACGCATGGTTCTTACATCCATCACGTAACAGAACCAATGGTAATTGAAAAGGGTGGGGCCAAATATGAAGTCACAGTCTCCAATGTTATATCCTATGTGCTCCGGTAAGATTTCATGTTCATGTTTTTCCATGCTCCACCTAAGAGGATTAGCGGCCATTGTTTGCATTAACTCGGGTGTAAAAATGTGCCTACTGACACGACTGTGGTTCTCTTTTTCATCTCCCACCAAGGTTCTCGCCACCATAGACATGAACTATATCACACATACAAACAGTTAGTCATGATCATAATGACATTCGCAGTTCTCTATCTATATAAACAACTGTCTTACCCTGTCGTTCATCCATTTCCTGTCTTGTAGGCAGCAAAGCTCAGCACGTGTCAAGAAGTACCCATACATCTCTACAATGTACCTGCAGCAAAAGGAACAATGAGCACAAGGGTTGTATGTGTAAAATTGTTGTCAATCAGTTGTCCCAATTACAATCAGTCCCAACACTTACTTGGCACCTTCATCTTGATCACATCTTCTCGTGCACATCTGGAATAATTCCTCTTTCTCGTCAGCTTTTCTCTTGCCACGGCCTTTTTTCACCTCCTCTAACCAGGGAGATTTGATTGCACGGCTTCTCACCCGTGTTGATCTTCTTACATCCATTTGCCCTTGTGCTTGCTGGTCCATTTCATCCTTTTCCTCCATTTCATCGCCTACACCCTTATCCTCTTCTGCTGCTGCATCACTAGACTTGTCTTGTGTTTTTTCTTCTCCATCATCCTCTGATCCAGAGTGACTCCCTTCTCCTTTCTCCTCAGGTTGAGATTGACTCTCTTCTTCACGCGAAGCACTTTTGCCCTCTTCTTTATCATCTCCTTCTGGTTCACTCTGTTGTTCCTCTTGTGACAAAATTGAATCTTTTGGGCTTCCTTTACCTTCTTCACCGGTTTCTTCATCTTCAGTTGCCTTCTCTTTGTCATCTTCGCTACTTACTGCTTCCACCACATCTTCCTTGTCAATCTCATCCGTCAACCTCAACTGCAGGGAAACCAACTCTTCTCCAATTGTCGACACCAACCCTTCAACCATGGTCATCAACCTTTCATACGTTCTCTTGATTTCCTGCAAAACAACAGTAATGAAAGTTATCATTACTCCAAATTCTACACAGCACCAAAATAAGCTTCACATGATTTACTTACAGGGTGAGTTAGCTTTATTCCTGTGTTGGATGCACTTGTTGAAGCCCCACCGACACTCGGAACGCCATGCAGTATGCCTCTGTCGCTATTCTTTTCTGATTTCACTCTTGCCTTCACTTTTTCCTCATCCCAATAAGTAATGGCATTTTCATTTTTTGCCGCCTTTTCTTTTCCGAGAGGAAAGTGTTGTAGGCAATAAATCTGCATGTGAAGTTAATGATAACTTAGATATACAACAACATCATCCAAACAGGCCACTGACAACATAAACAGCGGAAAATCACAACCTACACACTGCCCAATAACAACATACACAGTGACCAATCACAACCTACACACTGCCCAATAACAACATACACTATGACCAATCACAACCTACACATAAGCCTGTCACAACATACATTTACGCCATGCACAACATGTACAGCATCCAGTGACAACCCATACTCAACAGAATGACAACACGAACAGACTGCAATTACAACCTATACATAACCAGGTGACAAACCAACACATCCTAATGACAACCTGCACACAGGACAATAACAACCTCTACACAGCAGTCACAACATATCCATAACCAGTTCACAGCGTACATTTCTCCAACTGACGACATAGAGTAGTAAATAACAACATACACAGTGACCAATCACAACCTACACATAACCCTGTCACAACATACATTTGCGCCATTCACAACATGTACAGCATCCAGTGACAACCCATACTCAACAGAATGACAACACGAACAGAATGCAATTACAACCTATACATAACCAGGTGACAAACCAACACATCCTAATGACAACCTGCACACAGGACAATAACAACCTCTACACTTCCAGTCACAACATATCCATAACCAGTTCACAGCGTACATTTCTCCAACTGACGACATAGAGTAGTAAATAACAACATACACAGTGACCAATCACAACCTACACATAACCCTGTCACAACATACATTTGCGCCATTCACAACATGTACAGCATCCAGTGACAACCCATACTCAACAGAATGACAACACGAACAGACTGCAATTACAACCTATACATAACCAGGTGACAAACCAACACATCCTAATGACAACCTGCACACAGGACAATAACAACCTCTACACCAGCCAGTCACAACATATCCATAACCAGTTCACAGCGTACATTTCTCCAACTGACGACATAGAGTAGTAAATAACAACATACACAGTGACCAATCACAACCTACACATAACCCTGTCACAACATACATTTGCGCCATTCACAACATGTACAGCATCCAGTGACAACCCATACTCAACAGAATGACAACACGAACAGAATGCAATTACAACCTATACATAACCAGGTGACAAACCAACACATCCTAATGACAACCTGCACACAAGACAATAACAACCTCTACACTTCCAGTCACAACATATCCATAACCAGTTCACAGCGTACATTTCTCCAACTGACGACATAGAGTAGTAAATAACAACATACACAGTGACCAATCACAACCTACACATAACCCTGTCACAACATACATTTGCGCCATTCACAACATGTACAGCATCCAGTGACAACCCATACTCAACAGAATGACAACACGAACAGACTGCAATTACAACCTATACATAACCAGGTGACAAACCAACACATCCTAATGACAACCTGAACACAGGAAAATAACAACCTCCACACCATACAGTCACAACCTACACATCAGCTAATCACAACCTACAGTTGTGTCATTCACAACATGCACAGCAGCCATTGACAACCCACGATAAACCGAATGACAACACGAACAGAAGGCAATTACAACCTATACATAACCAGGTGACAAACCAACACAATCCATTAACAACCTGCACACAGTACTATAACAACCTTGACACCAGCAAATCACAACCTATACATAAGCAGTTGACAGCGTAGTAAATAACAACCTACACAGCACATTGACAACAGAGTAGTAAATAACAACATACAGAGCAACCAATCACAACCTACACAGCACATTGACAATAAACTAACATCAAAGTAAATGAATCATACCCACACTTACCATTAGGAAGTACATGCAACCTCCCACATTTTTCGTCCCATCAGCTTTTCCTTTCTTCTTTCCTTTCTTGAACTCTGCAATTGAGTTGCAGAATTCTTTCAAAACTAAGCTGCTCCAATCATAGTGTCCTAAACTATCCTTTGTCACCACCATGACTTTCAACACTTTATCACTCACCCATACACTAGAGCCAGGACACAAGAGGACTCCTAGTGCATACATAACAAAAAGGAATTCAAACTTTTCTTCCTCTTTTCCTTCAATCAACCATGTTCCTATTGTTTTGTATGGCACTTTCCCGTAGTCAC